AGATCATCCAGTTCCAACCCCTGCCATGGGCAAGGACACCTTCCACTAGGCCAGGTTGCTCAAAGCCCCATTCAACACTGCCAGGGATGGGGCAGCCACAGCTTTTCTGGGCAACCTGTTCTAGTATCTCACCACCCTCATAGTAGAGAATTTCTTCTGAATATCTAATCTAGAACTATCCCTGTTCAGTTTTCTTGCAGGCCCCTTTAGGTACTGGAAGGCTGCTCTAAGGTCTCCCCAGAGCCTTCTCTTCTCCAGGCTGAACAAGCCCGACTCTCTCAGCCCTGTCTCCATAGCAGAGGTGCTCCAGCTCTCCAAACATTGTGGCCTCCTCTGGACTTGCTCAAGCAAGTCCATGTCCTTGTGTTGGGGGCTCCAGAGCTGAATGGAGGGCTGCAGGTGGGGTCTCACAAGAGCAGAGGGGCAGAATCACATTTAACCTTCTGGCCACACTGTTGATGCAGCCCGGTGCATGGGTGGTTTCTGGGTTGTGAGTACACATTGCAGCTGGCTCATGTTGGGCTTCTTGTCAACCAACATCCCCAAGTCTTTCTTGTCGGTGCTGCTCCCAATCCATTCTCTGCCCAACCTGTATTTGTGCCTAGGAGTGCTCTGACCCAGGTGCAGGACCTTGCACTTGGTCTTGTTGAACTTCATGAGGTTGGCATTGTCCACCTCTCAAGTTGTGTTGAGCACCCTCTGGATGGCATCCCGTTCTCCAGCGTGTTGGTCACACCACAAAGCTTGTGTCATTGGCAGTCTTGCTGGGGGTGCATAAAGCCCACAGTCCATGTTGCTGCAAAGATGTTGAACAGAATCAGTCCCAGTGCCTACCCCTGAGGGACAGAAAAACATTACTTGTCACTGATCTGCACTTGGACAGCATGCTGTTTACCACAACTCTTTGAGTGCAGTCATCCAGCCAATTCCTTATCCATCGAGGGGTCCGTCGTCCAATCCATGTCTCTCCAACTTGAAGACAGGGATGTTGTGTGGGACCATCAAATGCTTTGCACAAATACAGGTCAGTTGTTCTTTCTTTATCCAACAATTCACGATCCCACCATAGGAGGCCACCAAGTTTGTCAGGTATGGTTTCCCTTTGGTGAAGCCATGTTGGCTGTCACCAATCGCCCCCTTACTCTCCGTATGCCGTAGCATAGTTTCCAGGAGGATCTGCACCATGACCTTGGCTGGTACTGAGGTGAGACTGACGGGCTTAGAGTTTCAACACAAGTTTAACAAAGTTGTGTTCTACTAAGACAGAAAAAGGTAATGAACTTCTCACACAGGTCATCTTTCCTTCCTGAGGTGTCGTAAAGGGCATGCTTTGCTTCCTGTATGGGTGTACATGTGGCATCGTGGTGAGTGCTGCTCTTCTCAGCCTTGCTTCTGTACAAGTTACAGGGGAGTCTGAGGACACGCAGACAAGTGATTTGCTTTGGCAGTGGCTGTTCTGTCTAGCTGCAAGGCAACTGCTGTAGTCATGTGCATCATAATAAGTAGTTTGTTGCTTTGAAGCGAGCTGTGGTTCTCATTCTGTAAGCTAAAGAACTGCATGCACTTGTCATGCAGCACTCCTGCTGTGTGTCACTTCCAGTTTGAATCTTGCTGGTGGTAGGCCTGCTGCCAAGCTTGCTGTTGCATTAAGGCTTCCACTCCCATCCCCTCATATGGGAATGACTGAAGAGTATGGCCTTTGAAAAGAGTAATGTGTAGGCTGCTGTGGTTTTCCTCCGCAAGGGCAGGAATGAATTCAGTCACATTAAGGCCAACTTCTAGTGTAAAAAATACAGAGGGTGATGACTTAGGCTGTGCTGCATGTTATTTCAGCGAATACCTAAGGTACAGAAATTGAAGAGGCCAACAAGGGTAGTGTCAAGATGAAAAAGGAATTCAGATTCCATAAACTCCCACCAGAAAAATCTTAATTTAAAACCAGAAACGGTTAGATACAAACTCTTCCTTTATGTGCCTTGACCTTGCTCCTGATGCAAGAATATACATGCATGGTTTGATACAAAATCTTGCAGCTTGCAGTAAGTGCAAAGTAAGGGTTTGCTGCCCATTCTCATTGATCTGAATGTGATCACAGAAGCAAAGCGTGCTTCTTGCCACCTCTGCTACTTTAGTTCTGATGGTGATAGCGCAGCTTGCTCTTCATTTGTAGCCCAAGGTGTTTGTGGTCTTCCTGAGGGGAGCCTGGTTCATTTAGTGAGATACAAAATGACTCCTGATACAGCAGATACAAAATAGATTTCTGCTTGGAGGATACCCTGAGGTATGAGGTGTCTCGTGGAGAACAAAAGTTGGATAGATGGAGTTATTAATGCTGCAGCAGGTGAAGACAAAAGGGAATTCACATGTAGTCCCTTAGGATTGAGAAATAACAATCACTTTGCTACAAAGTCAGTTTTCCTCTGATGCCAGCACTGGAGAGGCATTGAGGTGTAGTTGTAGGAAGCCTTGCTTCACATAAGCAGAACTAGACAGACTTGGCAGTGAAAACTGCAGTAAGAAGTGATGTTAATGGACACAGAAGTCATAAGGAAATGTGTGGTTGCCAGTATGCTAGACTGCCCCAATTTGCTGCTGTTGCTGTTACCCATGGGTATGATGTAACTTGCAATCAAGCCAGAGTCAACATCTGTTTGGCAACAGCTTGTGATTGCACAGGCAGTGCCTGTGCCAGCAGCTGAGTTAAGGTTGGGTTTGGAATAGCAGCACTAGAGAAAGCCCTGTAAGAGATTTTAAAGCCCTACCTCTCTCAAACCAAGTTCCTACTGAAATTTGCAGTACTCTTAAGTAGCGGGGGCTCTTGGCCTGCCCAAAACTGCTGTCAGAGGATTCCAGTATCCCTCCTTTGCCTGCTGTAGTTGTAGTCCGTAACGCACTTGCTTGAAAATGGCTTCAAGAGTCAGTATACCGAACAGCGAGTATTGAAGTCCTGCTGCCTTGCAGCCAGGTGTGGTCTTCTGGGAAGTGAGATACCTGAAAATGTGCCGTCTGGCAGCCCACAGGTGGGAAAGGGGCACTTTTAAACAGGGCTGTAGTTGGAACACTCACCGGGCAGAGGTAAGCTTCCCTTTCCGTTCCATATCCAAAAGCTTAGGTATGTATCTCCTTCATGAAAGGAGGCTCTAGACAGAGCTCATTCTCTCTGTTCAGGGCCTGAAAATTGTTTGTCTCCTTTCCAAATGTACTTAAATATTAACTAGAATGATTAGATAAGAACCTCAGCTTTTGTTACAAAGAGCCTGATACACGTATGAAGGAAAGCTTGACCAAGTTGGCAGTGCCGTGTGCCTTCCACCCCCCTTGTTGCAGCTATGTTTTTAAGCCAGTCAGCATCTGGGAGGTGTCAGTATACTCCCATTTTAATGTACTTGTAGGTTCCTTTTGTTACCTTGTTACGCAGATAGTGCTGCTGCTTCAGTCTTATCTGTCATGGCTGCAATATCCATGCAAGTGATTTGTCACACATGGAAGTAAAATACTTCTAAGTAGATAAAAACTTAACAAATAAGCTCATCTTCAAGCTGGATGTGCAGCTTTTAAAACTGGGGGGGCAGTAATGGTTTTTAGGATAATACTGTGAACAACAGGTTGAGTCCAGAGGAGGGCCACCAAGATGCTCAGAGGGCTGGATCAGCTCTCCTATGGAGACAGGCTGAGAGATAGGGTTGTTCAGCCAGGAGAGAATGCTCAGGGGAGACCTTAGAGCAGCTTCCAATACTTAAAGGGGGCCTACAAGAAATCTGGAGAAGGACTTTTAACAAGGGCATGTAGTGACAGGACAAGGGGTGGTGGCTTTAGGCTGAAAAGAGGGGAGATGTAGATCCAATACTGGGCTGGGAAGTGGTTCTTTCCTGTGAGGGTGGTGAGGCACTGGCACAGGTTGCCCAGAGAAGCTGAGGCTGCCCCATCCCTGGCAGTGTTCAAGGCCAGGTGGGTGGGCCTTGGAGCAAGCTGGTCTAGTGGAAGGTGTCCCTTGCCCACAGCAGGGGTTTGGAACTGGATGAGCTTTAAGGTCCCTTCCAACCCAAACCTTTTTGTGATTCTAAGTTACACTTGGTACAAGTGAATTTGCATATGATGCTGGGAGAACAAAATGTTAATACAAAGTTATGGAGCAGTTAATGCTACTTGCATTGTCATGGCTGCATGCTTCCAGCTGCTCTGCAGTGGGGGAAGGCACAAGTGCAGCATTTACACTGTGCTTGTTATCTTACAGTCTAGAATAACATGCTGTAATTAAGGGATTAAAAAAAAGTTTATCACTTCATGTGTTACACTATGAATAATACTGTCTACTAACATACACTCTAAAGAACCTTCTTGTTAGCAACTTCTGCAGCTCGCTCTTCAGTGACTCGATGAGAAAATGAACATGAGCCGGCTTCAGTGTGCACTCGCAGCCCAGAAAGCCAACCGTATCCTGGGCTGCATCAAAAGGAGCGTGACCAGCAGGTCGAAGGAGGTGATCCTGCCCCTCTACTCTGCTCTCGTGAGACCTCACTTGGAGTATTGTGTGCAGTTCTGGTGTCCTCAACATAAAAAGGACATGGATCTGTTGGAACAAGTCCAGAGGAGGGCCACGAGGATGATCAGGGGACTGGAGCACCTCCTGTATGAAGACAGGCTGAGAAAGCTGGGGCTGTTCAGCCTGGAGAAGAGAAGGCTGCGTGGAGACCTCATAGCAGCCTTCCAGTATCTGAAGGGGGCCTATAGGGATGCTGGAGATAGACTCTTCATTAGGGACTGTAGTGACAGGACAAGGGGTAATGGATTAAAACTTAAACAGGGAAAGTTTAGATTGGATATAAGGAGGAAGTTCTTTACTGTGAGGGTGGTGAGGCACTGGAATGGGTTGTCCAGGGAAGCTGTGACTGCTCCATCCCTGGCAGTGTTCAAGGCCAGGTTGGACAGAGCCTTGGCTGACATGGTTTAGTGTGAGGTGTCCCTGCCCATGGCAGGGGGGTTGGAACTTTACAATCTTAAGGTCCTTTCCAACCCTAACTGTTCTATGATTCTATGACTCCAGGGCAGCTCAAAAACTGACCCTATGGAAACCATTCACTGTACTGTATACAGGGCTTGTGAAAGATGTCAGAGCTAGCCCAGAGAGGTCACACTCCTGTTCTAGTTGCACAACAGGTAGGTTTTCAAGTCTAGTTTCTTGAAAGAACAGTGAGCAGCCTATTGCACCTGCTAAAGGGAAAGGAGCAGTGCAGCTCAGGGTGCAGTCACAAGGCTGTTCTCCCTGATCCCATGTTGCAGAGCTGTGTGCCAAGGAAAAACTGAGTTGCAAGTAGCTCCCTGTCACTTGGCAGTGTTGGGCAGTTAAGGAAGCATTAGCCTGCAGAAGTCTCCATACTGAGGGTAAGCAGCATAACTTCATACAGTAGTCTCCCAGGCAATAAACCTGATTAATACTCTGGTGACAAGATCCTCTAATTTGTGGCTAATGAAAGGTGACTGGAGATGAACACAATGCTTTTCTATTAAGCTCTCCTAGAAGATTAGTATTTGCTGGTATATCTGAAATACAACAAAGTTTGCTAGCAGTGTAAGTGTGGATACTAAAAAAAGTAAAAATAGTACATTACAAACTACTACCAGCACTAGTTTGGATTTTAAACACAAAATAATATTAAATTTGCATTCAGCCATCTTCCTAGTGCAAAAGGAGTCAAAACTGGTTGCATGGAAGCTGTATTGCTACTCCTTCAGCTATTTTGAAACATTACGGTGTTAAATGTTAAATATGTGAACTGAAACACAACTATTAGTACCAAATCAAGATCAAATGAAGATTTTGAACATCAGAAGGAAGATGCTGAAGATGCTTTTGCCACACCAGGCTATAGCAAAAAGCTTAAAGGCTAACACTGAAGACCACCTGGTTGGTTTACACATAGCTACATTAACCCCTGCTCTTCGCATGTGATAGCAAAGAACCTGGCCAGAGCAAGCATTAATACTAGATTATAAATCAGTGATTCATTTCTGCTTTATTTTTTGTGCTTCTCAGACAAGATTTTCCAGAAATACTTTCTACATGTTTTTCCCCCATTTCTCAAGAACTTGTGAAACATGGGTAGGCTGCCATCTGGTAAGCCAGCAGCATACCAGCCCTCCCAGGGCTTCTTTGCCTGTAACCCAGGCTGTTTTATCATTACAGAGTTTGAGTTCCACTTCATAACTTAACAGTAACTAAGTGATGCATTTTGGTACATGTGGACTGCAGTCAAAAAACCCTGCATATATTTCTTCCCTCCCTTTCTTTGTTTCCATTTTTGGGGAAAAATAAAACAAACCACTCCCAAACAAAAACCAAACTACAACCAGAAACCCTTCCTTCAGTTCTGGTACACAGAAATTAGCCTCCAATAGCAGAGCTCGCATCTGGGAGAAGCAATACAAACTTCTATTGCTACCAGGGTATTGTGTCTCCATAGCAGTAGCCTACGCACTTGCCTAGAGGTAACCTTCTGGTATACCCCATACCATTCCCTTACTGCTGAGGTGAGATTCTATAATGAAACCATCTTACACCTCTTGCTGAGTTTTACAGGAGCTTGAATCCTTTCTTCAGACTGCCTTGAAAATCTACAGGTATACTCTCAAGCTGCCATTGGCCCACCATGCAAACTACAGAAGGCTTTTGATTAATATCAGCACATCAAGAGCAAGACAGGGTGTGCATGGGGGGGAATTCCTTTCACCCCAGCATTGATTTAGGCCATTACCGGTGCCTTGGAAGCTTCACTACTCCTAGCAAGTCTATGTAGCAGGTCAGAAATCATTACTGGAATCAGTTCTTACAGAGCAATACAAAAAACAGCTCTTCTCATCCCAGGAAGAGGGTTGGGACCCTCTTCTATTACACTCTGCCTGCTGTGAAACCCCAGGGACGTCTCCAGGTTTGTCTGGTGACGAAGTCAGCACAGATGTAACTCAGTTCCTGGGGATGGGTGGCTACATGCCTGACATCAGAACTGCGCCTAAATGAAAGTTTAAGCAGTAGTGGGTTAGAGCTGTCCAAGCACGTCAGGCTTTTTAAAGCTACCAGCAAAAAGTAAAGTGCTTGCACTGGAACAAACAACATAGCTTAAAAGGGTCAAATCAACACAGAGCTCTGATGCAAACTTATCTTCTGACACAGCCAGAAACATCGCTTAAGGAGATAACAGAAGGCAGTAATTTCTACAGTTCTCTTTGGTTAAGGCAAGGGCTGACAGCTCCCCGAGTCCTCCCAGCTCAGAAGATCGTGTTAAAGTATCAGCTGCCATGTTCAAAGCAGCCTGTGCTACCAACAGAAAATCTCTGAAGATGCTTACAAGCCAAATTGCAAAGTAGAGATATCAAGAGAGATGGCTCAAGGCCACATAGCACACTCTCATCACTTGACTAAAGTGAAATCAAACAGCATCAGAAGAATGATGACTTTCAAGTTCTTTCTGAAATCTCTCTTCAACAGAGGCACTGGCTCTTCTCCACACTCGGACTGGCAATCACTGGCCTAGAATCAAGATAGATGCCGTTTGGAGGGTTCTCTCCATGAAGCTGTAAGGTATTACGGGCTATTAGCTCCTTGGCCATTAGCATGAACACCTCTTCTATGTTTTGAGCTTCTTTAGCTGATGTCTCCAGCACAGCTAAGAGCCCATGCTTCTCCGCCAGCGTGCAGGCATCTTCAAACAGAACTTGGCGCTTATCCAGTGAATCTGATTTGTTCCCTTGAAAGAAGGAAAATACATAATTCAATAACTTAGGTTTCTCAACAAATTAATCTTTAAATGCAATAAATTAATTCAGTTTTGTTAAGCAATAGATTTACGTTAAGAATGAGAGTTACTGCAAAAAAAACCCCAACAGAACAACCAACAACCAAGATGTAAGCCACAAACAGAATGTGGATCAAAACTGCAGCTAGCAAATGAGTTAAAATCCAAACAAAACCTAAACCCCTGTGTTTATCTACTTACTTGCTGTAGGCAGTGATGCCAGAGCAACTTTTGGTCCCTATCCCCTAGTGTTCTTAAACATTAAGGAGCTTTTAACTTGGATACTAAAATAATATAGAAATCTTGTAGCCATGATGATTGTACACAGCAAACCAAAGCAATTTTGCAAGGTTTATTCCTCGCTCAACCTTCAGTGGAAGCCACATGTGTTATGCTATTGTCAAGCTACCCTAATTCATCTCAAGGTGGGTGCTCAGCTCTGAAGATCTGCAATGTTTTTAGCCTAAAGCAGATCTCCTCCCCCCAGAAAGCACCATTAAACCCCAGGAAGAGCCTGGCTAACTTAATCAGATTTTAACATGACCTGTTTATACACATTAGCCATGGATTATGTCAAAAAAGACAAGCATTCACACCAGCCACCTTAATGCTTAAAATATATACTTACTAAGTTTCCACATGTCTAAATTTAACTTTCACTTGAAGCAGTTCAAATCTGTCAGAGGTCATGAAACACCTCAGATAAAATACCTTTGTCTATTTAAGCAGCTGCAGCACATGTGAAATTATCATCAGTTCTGGTACATGCAGTACTTGGCTGAAGTCTACATTCATAGTTTCAAGACAACCCTTCATCAAATTCAGATCTTGAATTTGAATATAAGCCAACTCCCTTCCCATTTAAAAGGAAAAGAAACCAAAACATCAACCCACCCCCAAAAACACACCTTGCTTGAGGGTTATTTGCCTTCTTAAAAAGATTCTCAACCCCCTTTCCTCCTTCAGTTCCAGATGAGAAAGTTGGACTTTACGTTAACCTCATGCTAGAAGGGTGTACAACATGACTATGTGTAATGAAACATACAAAGACTTCCTGCCACAGTAAGTAAAGCACCAGCTTTGAAAGAAAGCACCAAGCTGGATCCTTGTTAAAAAGCTTCATTTTCACCAACTTCAGACCTTCTTTCTTAAAGAAAAATAACAGATCCTACCACCATCAGTCCTCACAATACACACAGGTAGGTCTTACTCTTCAGCTTAATGAGAAGAGTTAGAAAAGCCCTACCAAAGTTAAGTGATTTATTCCCCCACCAACACCTCTTGAGTCATTCCAAGCACTGTGGTTACATGCAGGTCAGGGTTTGTTGTTTGTTTCTGCAGGTGAAGAACAGGAAGAACTACCACAGCACAGTAATCTGCAAGGAGCACAAGCAGATGCTTAGGACCCATGCTGGCTGCGCTGCAGGGCTCAGCTGCCTGTCTCCAAAGCTGGTTTGGGCTGCTGTGGCTGCGCGTGTTGCTTTCGGCACAGTGCCACAGCAGAACAGGCAGAAGCAGGGGAATGTAAATAAAGGTTCTGTCATTTTACTATACTGGTTCTCTCACTTGCAGCTTCTTCCATGGGGGAGGGAAGAGCAATAACAACTTGAAACACAAAGGGAAAGAACCACACTGCTTCCTACAAGCTCCATTCTCAGCAACTCCTACCCATTCCTTTCCTGAAGGGGCAGAGCTTCCTGAATATAGTGGAGGAAACAAGGAGGAGGAATGCAAGCAGCCTACTTCATGCTCTGCAAAAGCCATGTCCCCAGTCTACTGTCTTACCTGATCAGAGTCCCATTACACAGCAATGCGCATGCTTATCAAAAGAACAGAGAGGAAAGATGAGAACCGGGAGTTGTGTTGCTCTGTGCGTTCCCCTTCTTCTTGAATTATTGAGCTGCTAAATTCCTGCACATCAGGAGCATAGGGTAAAGCTCACTGCAATTCTAACCTGAATTCAACCTAATTCAACCTCAGAGTTGTCCTTGCTTGCTAGGTAAGCAAGCTTGTTGTATTATTCCAGCAAGAAAGAAACAAGGAAAAGGGTTTCACTGTCTGCTATGAGCTTGGTCCTGCTGTGACTTTCCTCATTTTCTTTAAGCTCAGGCCAAACTGATACACTTTCTGATCTCTTTTAATCAAAACTGCATTCTTCTTTAATGCGTATTTTATAGAGGCTTCAAGTAGTGGAGGAAAAGTGAGGGGGATTTTACATACATATTAAAACTACATAATGTAATATCTAAAATTAGATTCCTACCAATTAACATCATGACCAAGTTTGCAGCACCATATTTTTCAATTTCATGAATCCAGTGAGGAATGGATTCGAATGTGGACCTCCTAGTAAGGTCATAGGCAAGGATGGCCCCATGGGCACTCCTGTAATAGGACTGGGTTATTGTCCGGAAGCGTTCTTGACCAGCTGTGTCCCACACTTGGATCTGTAAGAGAAAGAGTGATAGTTGTAAAGACCAGCGAACGCTGCTTCCTTGGTGTCTGCCATCACTAGCTATGCTTTGGAAACCCCTTGTCTAGAAGGCAGCTAGACCTGTCCCAGCTCACACCATTACACCATAGTAGTGGCTTTACACTCTCTCTACACCTCCACAATGAAGAGACATTTACATTCTTGTAAGGACGATCGAACCAGACCAAAGGGAAAGCTGCAAGAGTAAACCCAACTTTGTAAAAAGAGCAAGAAACCCAGTTTCAACAACTACTAAAAGATACAGAGTGTTACAGCATTTTAACAGCCAAGGAAGAAAAGCTAAGAAGCCCTGATGCAGGGCTGGGCAGAGCAAAGCCATATAAAGGACAGGCATCTGAATTCTCATCCGCACATAGAGGCAAGTTGTAGATAACAAATTCTTCTGGTATTTGTCTTACAAGTCTTCATCTTCCCTCAAAGCAAGCACACTCCAAAGCAGAGCCTTGCACACTAGAGGGTTTTCCCTCCTCAGTGTCCCAGTCCATAGGAGGGCCACTGAAGGTGCTCAGAGTGTAGGAGCACCTCTCCCATGAAGACAGGCTGAGAGGAGCTGTGGCTGCCCTTGAAAGTGCTCAAAGCCAGGTTGGACAGGGCTTGGAGCAGCCTGGTCTAGTGGAAGGTGTCCTTGCCCATGGCAGGGGGTTGGAACTTTAAGGTCCTTTCCAACCCAAACCAATCTATGATTTCTGAGTGAGGGAAGAGACACCCCCTTCAAACCAGAGCTGGCTTTCAAAAAACTATCTCCATAGAGACAAAGCATGAGCCCTCTCTCCCCAGAGCCATCCAGAGAAGCCACAAGAGTGCGTATGTACCAAATCAGAGTGACTGCCTCCCCCAGGGGATCCTCCCACGGGAAAAGATCCCCCCGGAAGCACCCCTGGCCAGCAAGAAACCCAGTTCTTGTTACTGCCTTCAGTGGGGCCGGGCGGGAAGCGCTGCAGTCCCCCCGCTTCCCTTGGGTCCCCCCAGCCCCTCACCTTCACTTTCTTGCCGTCGATGTCCATGGAGCGCACGGTGAAGTCCACGCCGATGGTGTTCTGCTGCTTCTCGTTGAACTGCCCCGTCTTGAAGCGGTGCACCACGCACGTCTTCCCCACGTTAGAGTCCCCGATCAGGATGATCTTGAAGAGGTAGTCGAAGGCATCGTCCGCGCTGGAGCTGGGGAAAGGCATCGCGGCTGCCGGGCGGGCCGAGGTGCGGCAATGAGAAGGACCGCAGCTCCGAGGGCCGCAGAAGGAGCCCCGTCCGGCCGGCTCCCCGCTCACCTGTTGGCGCTGCCCTGCCAGCACAGGTACCGCCCGCTTTGTACCGCCCCGGCCCTCTCGGGGCCGGCGGGAGATGTAGTTTTCCTCTTCCTCCGCCCGCCCTGCCCCGCAGGCTCCGCCGGGCACCGGTGCGGCCGCGGCTCGCTCCCCGCGATGCCAGGCGGGGCAGCAGGCGAGGGGCCCGGCGCGCCCGGGTCACAGCCGCAGGGCCAGGGGGGCGGCAGCGGCGAGGGGCCGCACTACAGCTCCCGCCATGCCCCTGGGCCCGCCCGCCGGAAGAGCCGCCTCCCTCCTCCGGCTTCCTGCGGGCTGTGCCGGCCGCTGCGCTCGGTAAGCGGCGAAGGGGGGGTGCTGCCCCGGGGCAGGAGGGGTGCGCTGCGCTGCATGGGGGGCGGATGGCTGTGATGGGCTGGCGGTCTCGGTGGAGCCGCGGCGTACCCTGCTGCTGCCGGCTTGGCTCGGCGGGGCTCCGCTGCCTACCCCACCCCGCCCCGCTGAGGACGTGGCCGCCGGGCCACCCGCGGGGGTTCGCTGAGGGGAAGAACCCGCGTCCTCATCGTCTGCCTCGGTGCTTCAGCGGGGAAACCGGCCCGGCCGCGCCCCGCCCCGCCCTGCCCCGCCGCCGGCCCCAGGTGAGCCGTGCCCGCCGGCAGGAGCGCGGCCTGCGCCCGGGGCTGGGCCGCTTGTCCCGGGTCTCTTGCGCTGGAGCTGCCCGTGCCGCAGTGCTCGGATCGACTCGGTGCTTGGAGCAGCCGCACGGCCTCCCAAGCGGCTACAGCTGGGGCTTTGGGGTGATTTCCTAGGGGAACCCTAGGAATGCGAATTCTGGTCTTCCCTGGCGGCTCTGGGGGACGGCAGAGTGGTATTAAGGAGGTTTGTTTTGGACTTAAGGTGTCTTATTTTGACCTGAAGTGAAGGGATAAGGGAGAATTTGGAAAGCTTAACAAAAGCTTATACAAAGTATCAGTTAGCTGGAGGTAAATAGTGCTAAGCAAGCAGATGAGCTGTATAAACACCCGAAAAGCAGCTCTCTTCCTTTTTTAGAGGCTTTGTGGTTCTCTGCCTTGAGTTCTATGGTTTATCCTTCCTCCTGGTTTTTGTTCATCCTCCTCCACTACAAATTTAATGTGGTATTCTCAGTGTAATTAGAAGGCTAATTTGTAAGGATAAACCCCTAGTTGCACACTGCTCTAGCCTAGGGAGAGTGCCGGTTTTGAATGTGAAAAGGACAAAATGAAGAAAGAAAAAAGAAATCTTTCTTAGTTATTTTTACACTGCCCATAAGTGGGAAGTGTCATCCTGTGCCTGAAGGTCTTCTAGAAAGCAAGCAGAGATTGAAAAGCTCTGAGGAGCAGGTAATTTCAATGCTAAATGCTATTAAAGAAAAAAAAAAGGAAAGGTGACTTTAAGGGCAAACCTGGGTCTTAGCTTTAAAGAGACTCAGTATCTTGGACAAATAAGATCTATGTTTGCATATGTTGACATAAAGCGGGTGGTAAATCTTGTGCTCCAGGCTGTGGCCTGGTTACCCATGGAAGGAACTTTTCCCGCAGCGTTGCACAACGGGCTGTGTTGTGCTTTCCTCAGAAGAGCTGTGTTACCTGCTGTTGCCTGGTGAGAGGCAAGGGAAGAGAATGAGTTCTTGTGTTTGATGAAACCGTGTGGTCTGCAGGCCTGCAAGGACTGTGGTGCTGGGCAATTGGAGTGCCTGGGGTTCTTCTCTCTTCTTCATGCTGCTCGTGTGGGGGATGGCCCCAAGCAGTTTTATTGCTGCCATGTGATACTTGTGGGGGTGCTGAGTTTTCATTCGCTGGTGTTGAGAAATGGTCCGGGACCTTAGATGGAGGTCGTTTCCAGGCTACTTAAAAAGTTGCCTTTTCCAGGGCTAGCCTTGGCTTCCCGTGGTTCCAGACGTAGGTGCTTTTTTCTTTCCCTCTCTGTGAACCCATGCAGCCTAGAAGCATGTCCTTTTGTGCTGGCACACCTACTTGGTCTGTGCTCGCTGGAGCGATGAGAGCATGGCTGAAATGCACTCGGGCTGTGTGGATGCAGGTGGTTTCAGATCTTGTACAGACTTGCTGCGTTTGCCCTGGGTGAGAATGATGTGTTCAAGTCTAGCATGGGATAAATGGGCCTCCGGTGTCTCAAAGGTGTAATGGCTGAATCCATATTAATAGGAGGATTTCCATGTCATACTCTGTTTTGGAGGTCAGATCATAGAATCATAGAATTGTTTGGGTTGGAAGGGACCTCAATGATCATCCACTTCCAACCCCCTGCCATGGGCAGGGACACTTCCACTAAACCAGGTTGCTCAAAGCCTCATCCATTCTGATGTTCAACACTTCCAGGGGTGGGGCAGCCACAACTTCTCCAGTGGTGGCTAATATATCCAGTTGTACTTGGTATCTGTCTGTTGGTCACACGTGCATCGTCATTGATGGAACAAGAAAGGAAGACTTCTTGCAGTGTAAGTTGTCTTGATGAAACCTTTAGGAGTTATAAGAAGGGAGAGCAGAAAGTCCCTGTGACATACAGGGTTTCCAGCAGCAGAAATTTGGATAAGAGAAAGTCTGGGCAATGACTTCGAATTTCTGCAAGTGAGGTTTTGAAGCTGAACTTCAAAAGTCTTGTGCAGATTCACCAATCATTACAAGCAGTGCCTGTGGATACAAAAGAACACAAAGGCATTATGTTCCATCTTATTTCAGCTCTAATTCTTTGGGGGAACACAGGTGGTGCACCATTTTAGTGCTCAGCATTCAGAATGTGTGGGGTGTCTGAATGTCTTCTGAAAATGCAGTTCCCACCAGCTGACTTGTGGAGCTGTTTTAAGCCAGGTTGCATTAACAAAATTGGGTTCTGCCTTCAGCAGTGATGCTATTATAGAGCATATCTTTCTCTGCACTGTTCTCTGTTGCGCGGACACAAGTGGTTTTGTAGTTGCTTTGTGAACCGTGGCAGGGAAATCTGGCTGAAAAGATCCCTGCCAAGAAAACAAAAGGGAGGCATGAAATGATCCCTCAGCTGTGCCAGCACAGCTGAGAGAGCGGAGTAGTGTGGGGTGAGCCAGCACTAAGAAGCTCTGTGCCTGTATCGTAGCTTTTCCTCAGTACTGATAATTCCTGATGTATAGCAGCTTTGGCAGATGTCACCCATGCCCTACAGGTAGTATGACTTGCCACATGCTGAACTTACTGAATTGGTGGCAGATGGAGCTTTAATGTAGGGCTTGAGAATGAACAGGCAGGGAGGCTAGCTGTTGGATTTCAGCACTGTCCTCACAGTTGCCTTCCTCTCTTCAGCTGTGCAAGTCCACTCTTGAGTATATTTTTTCAATGACATCTTAAAGAGGCAGCTAGATCCAAAACTATTCTCTACCAGTAACCAAATGCTCTTCTCTTGACTTCATCACCAGGCCATAGCTAGCCAGGCAATGATGGGAGGTTCCCTTATTTAAGACTACTCCACAGTGTACTGCAGATGTAAATGGTGTGGAATGGTCTTTAACATGAGAGCACTAGAAATGGATAGATCTTGGGGGAGCTCCTTGGTGATGGGCACTGAAGAGGCATCTGCTAGTTGGGGAACAAAAAAGAAATGGGTTGAAAGATAGCCATGAGGGTACTGTGAGAGTGGGAATAAAACCACATTTCTGGGCACAGAATGTGTCGAGGAATGTATAGGTGATGAGATGAGCAGTGATGTGCAACAAATCAGGAAGGAATGGCATAGAGTTGTTCCTGCTGAGTTCCAGCTCTTTGGGGAACACAGGTGTATTTTTATACATGAGTGTTAATTCAAATATGTTTTCTCTTCCTTTCCCATCTTCTTCTGTTTAAGCGAGAAGAAAAATGACCTAAGCATCATCCAGCCTTTGTGGCCGGGGCTGCCAGGAGCATGGCATTGCCTGGAAGTTTACGGAGGCAGCCTGCAGACAGAGGCCTTGCGTCCCATTGCACCCACCATCATATTGTTGTGTTCCTGCTGACCTTCTTCAGGTAGGTTCTGTGTATCTCTGCTCAGGGAAGTGTTCATCTCACTGAATTTTGGGATGGGAGGGCAGGGCATGTCTGAAGGTGGAGAATGAAGATAGGAAAATAGTCTCAACCTTTGGCTGTGAGCCTTGAAAGCAAGCTTAAAAGCTAGTAGTACCAACTGGTCTGGTTGTCATGTAGTTGTGAAGTGTACTATGCCCCTGGGGAATCCAGACACAAACAGGGGTTGCAGCAAAGGTGAGGTTGACTGTGCCAAGCCAGTAGCACTCTGTTGCAGAAGGGTGAATGCAGGTGGGTGGGGGGAGGAATTAGCCAAAACAAGGAAGGAAGCAAATGCTGATGCTCAGAACACGTTTAATACCTGTTCTGACTGATGGAATATGCTGTAATTGCTTCTGGGGTCCTCTTCTCTCCTGAAAGTACTATTTGCTGAGGGTGGACAAGCCTCTAGAGCAGAGAAGTCACTGCTTCCTACCTGAAGGTTTGCTAGATTTGTTTGTTGAAAGCTTGTCTATTTCACCAGCTGACAACAGCTCGGATACCATACTACCTCTCCTTACAAATGTTGCCTCACTGATATCCTTTGATCTTCACAACAGTACTGCCAGTGGTACCTAATCGGTCTCTGGAAGAGAGCTTGTAGTGCTGGTTAGCCAGATGAGTGCATCTTCTTTTGTTCCCCAGTCACCTCCTTTTTTTGAAAATAGAAGAGGAGATCCTTTCTGGTCAAGACCCTATTTCACAACTCCCCAGAAAAATCAGTGTGCCTGCCCATAATTTGAGGGTTCCTGCTGCTGACTATATCTCCAGAATTGACAGTCCTCTGCTATGCTGTCTGCTTAGAGAGCATGTATCTGTATTTTGAGTTCTGTCCTTTCCCACTTGACCTCGAGATCATTGGCCAGCCTGTACTTGTGTGTTTTCTGGCAGCTACTCCTTGCTCCATGCTTCCAGAAAGACGTTCAGTAATGTCAAAGTCAGCATTTCCAGCCAGTGGACTCCCTCCTGCCTGAACACCACAGCCCCTGAGCTCCGGCCATATGAGGTGAGAACACAAGGGATAGGCAAGTACAAAGCAAGGTGGGTAACTTCCAGTATGCTGAGCTTGTGGTGCTGAGGAGGCCCCTTTAAGCATCCATCAGGGACACTGCTTGGAATGTGAGCAGGAATTTCAGGTGTCTGAACTGTAGTTTTCTGGATCATCAGGTGATGGCAAAATCCTTCCCAATGATCTCCAGAGAGAAACTTCGTGAGAAGCTTAAGTGTTCCAGTGGAAATGGGGACCCCAGCAGAGTCTCTACAGTAGCCATCAACATGGAGAAGGGAGAGGAGAGGGAAGGAGGGACCTTGCCTCTGAAGTGTTGGAGGCAATAAATGAGCAGTTAATGGGCTTACAGAGATCTTTGTAAAATGCTGGCTGTGCCTTTCTCTGTGGTGATGCTGCTGCTGCCACCATGTTAAAAGGATAGCCAGAGTAGGAGAGAAGAGAACTGTCTGAAAGTGCTAGCTGCTTATCCTAAATTAACACTGAAGAATGCATCTAAAATTTCTGATTTCCAAAACGCTGAACACCCAGCATGCCTTGTCTGGAAAATCTTGGCTTCAGTGAAAGCAGTGGGAGTTTTGGCACTGTTTGCTTACAGGAAAGGAAGTTGTATACTGCTTATATCTCACAATGGGAATGCAAGAACTACTGCCTGGCTCCTGCCCACAGCCCTTTTAGGGACATGCTTGTTTTTTAGCAGTGGCTTGTCCCAGTGCTTTTGGGAAGTAGAAGAACTCTTACATTAACAGCTTGGTCACAGCCCTGTTAGAGCAGGGAGTTCCAGGTCAGCTGCCTGGGTGTCATCTGCATTAGAAATCATTGGTTATTTGAACGTTTGACTGAGGGATGGGAAATGCTGACTTTCTGTGGGAAGTGAAAACAGTAAATTGGATCTGCAGTGTGTTCAGGATTTTCTAGTATGGCAAAAAGGAATGAACATCTTAGGGATGCAAAAAGTGAGATACAGGGTGTTTATCTTCAGTTCCTTAACTCACATTCAAACTACTAGGGTATTTTGGAAGATTTTTTTCTAATATAGATAATTTAGTGTTTGCTGGATGTTGAGGTGCATGTATCTGGTCAAGAAAAATGATCGAAGTGGTCCTTTTGGTATGAGTTTAGATTATATCAATTGACAGTAAAGCACGTTTTAGGAAATGGATAAATCAGATTAAGGATACGAAGAGAGAAGTTGCATGCTATCAGTTTTGAACTTTGGTATATCTTTTAAACTACAGTTGTTCTTTGTACTTAAAAATATTTTTTAAGTATAACAGAATGTTTTGCAGTAGTTTTGTGAGCAAGCCATAGTACGATTTTGTTAGAAGGACAACTAGGATCTGTGCTCATCAGCCTTTAAAGGTTTGTTTATTTTCTAACGGGGGTGTGGTATTGGGGTAAGTAAACTTTGTCCTGATTGATTCATTTCAACCTCAGAGCTTGCTATTTTCAGCTGATGTTGCTAATCTTTCCTCATCATATTGAAAGTAAAATGAAACTCAGGGTGAGCACCAAAAGCCCCTCTAAACTACTGACTGTAGCTCATTGTAAATAGTTTCCATCCAGTCTTTTTCTGCCACTTGTTCCTTTTGTGTTCTTGCTTTTCTGTTCATGGCCTGTCATTTCTTATTATGGTTGGGACCACAAGGACTTTAAGGGAATTATTAATTTAGTGAAGACAGCAAGATAAGCACAGAAGAGACACTTCACAGAAAACACAATATGCCTTTATTGTATTATTCATGAAGATGCTCATCAGTGTTTCTGTGTAAGAAGCTGTCTAACAGTTGCGTGCCTCTTAGGAGTAAGGTTTGTTTTGCCAGCCGTTTGTCTTGATCCAGGTGGAACAAGCATTTCTCAATTCTGGTTGGCTAGTTTTCCTTTTAGGAGTGAAATGAAGTGACAGTGGACTTTTTTTCAGTAGATAATGACGTAATTGTTCTTCATTTGATAATTAAAGTGTTGAAAGAATGGGAGGCTGCTGGGGCCAGATGCTGTGCTGGTGTGCTGGTATGGAGTTAGGGTTTCTGTTGAAGAAGAGTAAAATGAGCTATGCCTCTCAGTGTTTACCTGTTAAAATTTTCTCTCTGTAGCTCTGGAGCAGCAACCATTTATTTCCAAATGCAGAAGAAGCAACTCTCTTCTTGGGGACGTTGGACACTATCTTTTTGTTTTCCTATGCTGTGGTGAGTAAAAGTAACCCAAAACTGCTAAGCTTTGGTTGAATCTTACGGGGATGATTGCACCCAGATGTGGAGGGGATGAACAGGATCATCTTCCTGGACTTGCCAGCACTAATACAGTTAAAAAGCTTAGTTCAGAGCTCGTTAGTTCTGCCTGCGCCTGTCACCCGTGTGAAGATGCTTGTTAACAAATGCAAGAGAAATACTGTTGCTTCATAACTTCTAACCGCCCTGTCACCAGTGGATGGGAGGGTTCTGTCCCTCCAAGAGCTCTCAGCTGAATTTTTTAAAACCAAGAAATTTTAATGAACAGCCATGAGCAGGATTTCTGTGGTGGCAGAAGTGGTTAGAATCAAACAAAGTTGATATAACAACAGCGTTTGGATCAGCTTGACCCTTCTACACCATTTTAACTCTTGCAGATAACAGATGCAGATCTTGTGGCTTTATTTAATGCTGTGTTTTGTTCTTAGGGTCTCTTTGTCAGTGGCATAGTTGGTGATCGCCTGAATTTACGCTGGGTTTTGTCTTTTGGCATGTGTTCTTCTGCTCTTGTGGTAAGTCGAAACATACTAGCGTGATTTAGAAATCTCTCTTAGGGTTTCTGGGTAGGATTTTACTTCAGGGGAGAAGAGGCTCTGTTTCTGTGCAGGTCTGCCTAAGCTGTAGCTGTACCTCAGTGGTTTCAAAGTCTGTATGTAAAGCTTTGTCCTGGGCGTGCTTACTGCATTGTCTAAAGCACAGAGCTACACTAGATGACTCACCTCTTCCTGAAATATCTGTTTATGGATACTGTGTCAGAAGGAAATTCCAAAGCTTGAGACACTGTCTAGAGACTTGATGAACAGCTTTTGTACAAGAATAGTGTGTTTGGACGTTCTGGGACTGTTTTGTATTATAACTGTTCTCCCAGCCCACACATATTGTCATCAAGGTTTTTGCTTCCAAACACAATCTTTGCTGTCTTTCTTAAGGGACATACTAACAATAGTAAGCATTCATTTACTTATTTTGTAATTGCTGGGAGGGCATGTGTCAAAAAAGAATGTACACTTAAAACAAGAGGTTTCTTGAGGTCCAAGCCACTGCAGATAAGTGTGAATCAGTTTTATCTCATTGTGGTTTTCTGGTTATTAAAGTAGTGGTAAAACGTCGGAGTGCTTTTGATTTACCCCACAATGGCATATTGCGTTCTGCAAACACATGACCACAAACATGCATCAAGTGCAGTGTGCCACAAAGTGTGTTTATTTTGGCTAGTTTAGGTCAGGGCTCTTAGTCATTTGAGACCTAGCTGTAGTATTTCTGTCAAATTTTGCTAAGATAAATGGCCACTGAGGGTTTTGTGTTTGCATAGAGGCTCGTGAATGTGGATGTCAGTACAATAGCAGATCAGATCAAGAGGCTACTCTGTTTTTAGTGTTGTTACTGGAAGTATTTGTCTCTTTCTTCACCACTCCTGTTAAAACTGTGCTGTTGACAAAGATAAAAGGCTTCTGGAGTGGAAGTGCCATGACAGCACATTTGTCTCTGGAGGTGTTCGGGCTCTGGAGTAAGTGCTGTGGTGGCTCACCAGAGGGTGCTATTACCCCTGAGCTGATTCTTACACAATGCCAGGCTCCCTCTGGGCTGGCGGGCCACTGCGGGGCACCTTCTCTTTGAAATGTTACTTCTTTTAGGACCCCACTCCTGCCTGGCTTTCAGCAGTAGCCTCGGGGTCTTCTCCGTTGGTTTTTAATTTGGTTTGGTTTTGGGTTTTTTTCCCCCTCCTCTCTAGGTGTTCTTCTTCGGCACACTTACAGAATGGTTGCATTTCTACAACAAGTGGTTCTACTGCTGTCTCTGGGTTGTGAATGGTTTACTGCAGTCCACTGGTTGGCCCTGCGTGGTTGCGGTCATGGGCAATTGGTTTGGAAAAGCTGGGTGAGTGGAGTTTTCTTCAGTGACTCACTTGTCTGACCCACTGAGTAGCAGATTGAGCTGACTCAAACCAAAAAGGCCAACTGTTAGGTCAGAATTAAAATTATGTGGGATGAATCATCATCATTGAATAGTTTGGGTTGGAAGGGACCTCAAAAGATCGTCCAGTTCCACCCCCCTGCCACAGACAGGGACAGCTTTCACTAGACCAGGTTGCTGAAAGCCCTGTCCAGCCTGGCCTTGAAAAGTACCAGGGATGGGGCAAGCCACAGCTTCTCTGGGCAGCCTGTGCCAGTGTCCCACCATGATCAAAGGGGGTAATTTCTTCTAATATCTAATCTAAATCTCCCCTTTTTCAGTTCAAATCCCTCCCCACCTTCTCCTATTGCTAAATGCCTTTGTAAAAAGTCCCTCTCCAGGTTTCCTGTAGGCCCTTTTTAGGTACTGGAAGGTTGCTAGAAGCTCTCCCTGGAGATTATGCTTTTCTTGTTACTATTATCTCTCTTCCCTGGAGCCACAGAACAGCTTGGTGTGGAAAACACAATTATGTGTTAAAGGCACAGGTTCAGTGTTCAAAAGTATCATTACAGAGTGTCTGAATTTGAATTTTCATGACACTGGGAAACCTCTTTCTGTTTATGTACTACTGACGAGGCTGAATTGAAATTGACTCCTTGTAGGTTCAACTGTGTCGCTTTGGGGTACTGCAGATATGCTCTAGCTATAGCTTGTAACTCAGTTGTTGGCAGCTCATCTCTGCTGTAATGCAAGTGTTTCAGGATAGAACATTCCTCCCTTATCTATTTGGAACCTCCAAGTTATTCTGTGTTTTGTTTTAAGTGACCTTTGAGTCTTCTTCGAGTGGACTGGGAGAATGCTGTAACTTTATTCTTTAGTTAAAGTTTATTCAAATGTTTTATCTTCATCTTGCTCCTAATGTCACCTCTCCCTGCGTTGCCTTTTCAAATTTCTTTCCCTTCTGCAGAAGAGGTTTTGTGTTTGGACTTTGGAGTGCCTGTGCATCTGTGGGAAATATCCTTGGGGCATTCCTTGCCTCCTGTGTTCTCAAATACGGCTATGAGGTAGGTATTGCTGTCTGGCTTCTAGATGGGACTGCATGTCTGATTGGGTTGTGAGAGACTAGTTGCTTATGCTGTCTCTGAGAGATAAGAGGCTCAGAGTGCCCAGTTTCATCATCCTGCATTCTGTGGTAGCAAGCAGTAGGCAGAATACAAACAATATTCCTTTCCTGACCCTTCCAGGTTGGGAAAAGGGTCTGATATTTCTTTGTAAACGAGACTGATGTTATTGAAAAGCCCTAGTATCATAGTAGACCTTCTTCTAATTTGGGTAGCTTAAAGTGCTCTTCAGAGTCATCCATCACAGGTTCTCACTTAACTGATGTCACTGCTGCTGAATAGTGGTGAGGTTCTGACCCGTATGGAGGCATAGCTTCTGTAACGGAGAAGAGGCTAGCACTAAATTGCTGTAATGCAGTGGGCAGGCAATTGAATGCAGGGAATGTAAGTGAACCAACACATCTTGAAGCCTGTAACCTGTGAGGACAGGCTAACAGAGCTGAGCTTGTCAGTCTGGAGATGAGGAGGCTTAGGGAACCAAATAGCCTGTGAGAAGATTGCTGAGAAATCAGCGCCAGGCTCTTTCCTGGGTTGCACGGTGAGAGAGCTTAAAAAGCATTGGTTATAAAGTGAAGCAGGGATGATTCCAACTGGATGCTTGGAAAACTATTTCGCTATGAAGTTAATTCAACATGGGAACAAGGGGTGGGGGCCAGAGCCTGGAGGATCTGTCTTTGGAAGATTTCAAGACCTTATTGAGCAAAGCTGTAAGCCACCTAGTCTGAATTTGGTGGGTGTTTGACCCTTCTTTGAGCAGTCCCTTCCAGTGTGCTGGTTTGTTGGGTGAGCTCCTTCCTCACTGCTGTCACTTCAGTGCACTAAACCAACTGTTTTAATGTGGTCTTTCAGCCTAGATAGAACCAGGTCTGTTCAGGAGATGCAGAGACCACTTGTTTCCAAGTTTTGTGGATGTAGTCTGGGTTGTTGTAGCTGCATTTACTCTCTGACAAGGCTGGAATATAAAGAAACCCTCATAATCATTGAAGCCTTTGTGATTGAAAGTGTTTTAAAAAATGCTTTTTTGTTTATTTGTCTTCAGTATGCTTTCTTGGTGACAGCCTCAGTACAGTTTGCTGGAGGAGTCATTGTGTTCTTTGGGCTGCTGACATCACCAAAGGAAGTGGGTAAGTAAAAGAGAGCCGTAGCATTACAGTCTCTTCATGGAAAGCAGATCTGCAGCTTTCCACATAGTACTGGAATTACAGAATTCTAGAATGCCAGGTTGGAAGGGACCTCAAGGATCATCTGGTCTAACCTTTAGGAGTACTAAATTATTGCTTGTGCTGACAGCACTTATCCTCAGGGCTCTTACAAAACGGTGTTGCTCTTTAGTGTATTTAATGGAGCAAATGCTTTACTCACCAAGATCACACAAAATGCCACCCTGCATCATGTGTATAGGGTCTGCGTATTTTAAAGAGCAAAATAAAACAGCCTGGCTGTTAGGATGTGCCTAATTATCAGGCTTTCTTCACCTGGAAAACCAGTATTTTTTAAAGAAATAGCAGGCAAACTGATAGCTGGCTATTGTAGGAGGAAACTATAGCACGCCGTAACTGTGCAGTGGGAAGGGAAAGTACCTTTGGTCTGTAGGTCTCCCACAGCCAGTTAAATAGCTCTGAGATTGGATACGGACCTTCTCTGAGAACACTGTAGGCAAACTAAAGCGTAACAGGAAAACAAAAGAACTTTTGGGCTTTGACAGGGCCGTGGAGGAGGTTTCCCAGGTGCCTGCAAGGGCTATAAAGTTGGTAGCTCTAAAGCTACCATAAAGAGTGCTCGTAAGAGTGCTCAGCAGCCCAGACAGCACAGTGCAGTTCTAGTACTTCCGTTCAGCGGAGGCGATAACAGGCAGCAGCTGTCTGAGTAGTTGCTGGCACACTTAGCCCCTATGCTCAAGGGAAGTGGTACCCAGGAGCCAGGCCCCAGGATCCCAACCACTAAATAAGGAGGGAAATGCACTAATTTGTTGTCTTCCAACTAATGGCCAGACACTCAGAACAGACAATGCCGACGCCAGGATCAGACAGAATACTTTCAAGAGCACTAGAAGACAAAGGGTAGAAACTGGCGACACTGCAGAACACCATCTAGAAGAGTTTCTAAGCGCAAAGGAGGATGGAGGTATGGGAGAGCAAGGGAATTGCTAGAAGGGAGAATTGCTTAAAAGAAGCGAGCATAGCTTTAGAGCGGGGAGAAGGTGAACAGGCTGTGGTTTGTTTTTCCTGTTGCATATCCCTTGTAAAACTTAGGCCTCCCTGAGCTTGGAGCAGACGAAGATGGCAGTGTGGAGGAAGATGCCAACAGACCTTTAATGAGCAATGATGATGCTGATGACGATGACCGGAATTACTCTATTCAAGCAACTGACACTGACAACCATCCAAAGGCCATTGGCTTTTTCCAGGCTTGCTGCCTTCCGGGTGTAGTACTGGTGAGGACAGAGATTCTTGACTGAGATCTGACTTTTTGTGTTGTCAGCATTTGTTGACGTCATTGTTAATATGTTGGCCATGTGTTGCAGTTGTAGATACCTGATTTCTTATGCTCTTAAAATCTTGGGTTGGGATTGTTACTCTTGTGCACATGGATTACGATACTGTTGGGGTATGTGGTTGTGTGTTTCTCTTGCTGTCAGACCCCTGCTTCATTTAGTGCATGTAACGAGTGAGCAACGGGCGGCAGAGATCCTTCTCTTTTTGCTGCTGAATTTAGAAGGGAGGCCATGAGCAAAGGTGGATGTAGGATGCTCTGTTGCTAAGGTAGCTGTGCTGCTCTGGGGAATGGGATTCTCTCTGCTAGCTGAGCATCACACAGAACTCTCTGGCACTGATGTTGGGGTTTTTTGTTGTTGCCTTAAAGCAGCAAGCTGGCCTGAAAAGCCTTAATCAGCATGATGTAACATGTGGCAAAGTAGGCGTTTGGGGGGGTTTTAATAAATAACTGGAAACAAAGCCTAGTGATGCAGTTTCCACATATCCTCATCCTGTCTTGTGGAGAGCTTGTACTTTTGCGTCAGCAGGATTGCCCAATTCATGGATTTGGTTCAGCTGAAAAATTAACCTCTCAGTAAAAAAACAATGTTAACTTTGTATGTCAGTGGGCTCTGTGCCCCTGAATCAGTACAAGGGGCAGGGTGGCTGGCTTGGTAGTAAGGTGTGAGCTGTCTTGATCATGAAGCAGAACTCCTGAATGGAGAGTGTTGTCAGATACCCTTAATAAGCAATGCATTTGGTGGTTGTGATTAAGGCAGCACAAGATCTAGAAGGGATGGGTGAATTGTCAGTGTTTAGAGTGCTGGACTACCACGGTTTTGCTGTTAAGACCTTAGTTGAGAGGTGGCAAAAGAAAGCATACCCATCTTGAGCTCTTTCCTAATACAGCTAAATGCTGTATAAACTATAGTTTGGTTTTGGGGGTGCTAAAAACGGGCTGAGGTAGAAAGAACCTTTAGGCAAAATTTCTTGGTGGCGGAGGCAGCCTCAGCTGCTGTGTGACTTTTTTTCATTGGCCAGAACCTAGGGGGTATTATACAACTGGTGTTGCTGTTTCTGTACTTGGGGTTTTGAGGCCATGTTCTCTGCATTAACTCAGCAATGTGAACACCTCTGAGTCTGTGAGTCCTATCTGATGGCAGACCAGTGCCCCGCCAAGCCAGGACACTGCCAGATCGGTGAGAGACCAAATACCAAGAGCACTTCAAAAATCTTGTCAAGATTCTGTAAAGACTGTATTTGACATATGTTTTCTGTAGTTCCTCTCTCCTCCCGCTGAGTGATGTGCTGGGAGGGTTTTAATACAGACAGCTGCCCCTTGAGCCTCTAGAAATTAAATGTTTAATTTCTCTGACAATCTGGTAGGCAGTTTCTAAGCACATTGTAATAAATGCTGCTTTGTACAGTACAGTGCACTTTTCACATGTATGGTGGAGATTAGTTTGTGTCCTGTCAGAGTGAAAAAGCATTAATAAGCTAAAAAGGGTTTATTTATTAAAATGATATGAATTCAGAAGGTGTGATTTTGAGCAGTTGAAGATATAAAAAAGGTCTGCTTTTTGACATTCAAAGTGCATACATACATATTTTCATGCAGGCCCAAAAGCTGTGATTTTAACAGGTTGGGTTTCCTGCCCTTATTCTTGTTTTCCTCTTTAAGTATGGGTTCCTTGAATTGCCATGTCTGTGTTTATCAGGAGGCCTCACTGAAACAGTGTGCCTCCTCCCTCTGCATGCTGGGCTGGCAATCCCAGAGAACAAATCTTTGCCACGCACATGAAAGCTATAAAGAAGGAGATCTCCTGCTAGCTAAGGACAACTTGAGCCCAGCTGCCAAAAGCAGGAGGTTGTCTCAGCTGCTGGGTTTGGAAGCATGTGCTTAGATTTGGCCAAACCTTTCTTCTTGTGTCCTGAAATACCTGCCTGGGGATTATGAACAAAGCCTTCTCTTCTGGTGCTGTAAGCAGATGAGTCTTCTGAGCAGCAAAAGATAGCACGGAGGAACTACTTCACATAACTTTTCTCAGCATGATGCACAGATGACTAAATCTCAAGCTTATTTCATGTCACATGTTGGCTTCCTTCTCTTCAGAAGGTGAATTAAATTTCCTTCATTTTTTGAAGCCTGGTGTTGCTTCCTCTCAAGATTACACTGAAGGTATTTTAACCCCTTGCATTCAGTGAAAAGAAAATAGCCTTCTTTTATATGTATTCCTGGGTTCCCTTTGATGTTCAGCGTTAAGCTTCCATAATGCTGCCTTCTTAGGGGAAATACAAAAACACTTTCCCTAAAAGCTTTAGCTGGATACTGAGCTTTATGGGAGGAAGCAGAAACGCTTTTTGCATTTCCCAAATGCTAACTGCCTGCTGGCCCTCTCTTTGTTCCAGTACTCTTTGGCTTATGCTTGCTTGAAACTGGTGAATTACTCCTTCTTCTTCTGGCTGCCCTTCTACCTCAGCAACAATTTTGGATGGAAAGAAGCAGAAGCTGACCAGCTCTCAATCTGGTATGATGTGGGAGGAATCATAGGTGAGTGAGCAAGTGAATGGCATCTTCCTGCAGTTGCCCTGCTAGTGTTTGAAAAGTGATAGGCATCGCATGCAGCTCGGAGCAGTCAGGTTCGGTGGGATCTAGCTCTTATATAAAGTCTAGTTATTTATGTGGCTGCTTGGCTGTTTTGTTTGGGTTTCCTCCCCTGCCCTTTTTTTCCCCCTGTAAAACACAGAGTACATGAGCCCCCTAAAGAGTTTACGTATCATTTAAAGGGCACTATGATATTCTTGGACACTACCCCCAGCAGGCATTTTTCTTTGGTCACTGGGACCTCTTGAAAAGTGCCATGTACAAAATGGTATCGCTGCTTCTTGCTACTTTCTGACAAGTACCCCTGGGGGAGAGCTTAGATTTGGAATTAACTGGGTTCTGTATTGTCCCTTCTGTCCTGTATTTTTAAGAAACAACTCAACACAGATCTTGGCAAAGCCAGCACAACTGTGTTGTGTTCAGAAATAAAATGTAATTGCACTTGTTCCTGCTGGCTGCAAGATCTGACCCTGTTCCACCAGAATAAAGAACATATTGTCTGTGTTTAGACTTCCACTCTCCTGTGCTCAGTTTCATGCTTTATTACCTTGTCCAGTTAGCTTTCCTAGAATAGATATCCTTGTTTTGGTCTGTTCAGGGTCAGGTTTTTTACCTCTGTGGATGTTTTGCCTCTGTGGATGTTAGGCTTTTTCAACATTCCTAGTTTTTACCAACAAAGCAGTTCCTACAGAGGTATCAGTGATATATAAGGTGATTTTAATCTCCTACTGGCGTTTGTTGCAATTAGCTGAACCTACCCTAAGTAGATGAGACAGCAGGGAATGAGAGATCTGGGTGCTAAAGCTTTCCCTGTGAAAAAGAGTTGCCTTTTCCTGCTCTTTCCAGCCACAATATTAAGCTTGCTTACATCCAGAGTTGTGGTGATCCTAGAGCTGTGATGGTCCTATAGGGGAAGGAAAGGAAAAGTGGAACACTGGCTAGTTGTGTGCCAGAAAAAAAGAAGTAATAAATTCCTGGGAAAGCAGTGTGAGTAGTTTTCCCTGCTCTACCTGTGCCACATAAGTTTACTGTTGTCTCTGTGTCTGGGGCAGTAAGGGCAGGAGACTTAGTTTTCAGGATTTTAGAGAGAATGTGTATTGATGAGAAGGCAGGAGGCCACTACATTCAGTGAAAAGAGTTCTGTTCAAGGTATCAGCATCCTGAGCCTGACAATGGTTTCTTTTTTTGCAGGTGGGACTATCCAGGGCTTGATTTCTGATGTGCTGCAGAAGAGAGCCCCAGTACTAGCAATTAGCCTGCTCTTTGCTGTCGGCTCGCTTTTTGGTTACAGCCGTGAGTATGCTTTTATGGTGTAGTGAAAGGAGGTTTCTTTGGTACGTCGTAGAGGAAACCAGAGCACAGCCTGTTCTAATTGTTCTCTGGATTGAAACTGCTTCTGGATAGGGATGGTGCAGTTTAGGTCCTTTTTGCCTGAAGTGTGGTACTGCACAGGAAGTTAATGTCCAGTCAAAAAAGAATTAGTGGTTGATGAGTGGTTGGATTTTCCTGTAGTGGTGAGTTCCAGTACTGAACTTCTCCAGTGTCAGTGAGATTTTTGGTGTTGTCATTGTAGCAACACCACACCTGGCAGTGCAGGAAATCCCAGGTGCATCTTTGTTGTAAGACAAAAGAGAATCTGGGGACAGGTCTGTGCTGGAGGATATATATACAGAGGCAGAAGCTCTTAACCAGTTATACTTCCGTAAGTGGTGAAACCGAAGTTTCTTCCTTTTTCATAATAGATATGGTTTTTGGTGATTGGTTATTGAAAGGAAAACTAAGAAGGAGGAGAGAGGCAGATCTCATTTTTATGAAACATCTGTGATGATCTTTTAAGGGTTAACAGTTTTGTCTTCAGACATGATGTTCTGTGGTACCGGAGTGCTTTAACTCACTGGGATGTCATTTCACTTTTCTGTGTCTTCCTCCAAAATGAGGTGGTGATATAGGCAGGCTTTTGTAGAGCATTTTGAGATCTGTGGACAGAAATCACTGCCAGAGCTGGACATGAAATTAAAGTGTGACTTTCATAAGCTTACTCAGGTAGTCTCAAGGTTAGGTCAACAAGGTATAATCATTAAACAGCAAGGACTGGTTTTGGTGGAGTTTTGTAGGCTCTTGTCCTAACTCATTACTTTCAAAAAGGTATTGGAAGCAGCAGACTTTCAAGGGGAGTAAAATGTAAGCCCTGTGTCACAGAAAGAGGCATAATACAGGCTGGAACCCAGAGCCAGGCCAACTGGGTATCGCAAACTTTTAATGGCTAAGGTGACTTTTTACTGTAAAATGCTGTTGGGTAACTTCTGCATTTCTATTCTCTAAATGCCTTTGCAATAAGACTAATCTCTATAGAAGTCTCTAATCAAATACAGGTCATTGTCACTGTGTAGCTAACTGAACAGACAGTTCAAACTGGATGTTTGCGTGCTTCTTTCTGATCCCAGATAAGTGGTTTTCTCAAGTTCATTTCTTTTATTTACACCCATCTGGTCTTTCTCTTGCAGGTTCTCCAAACAGCAAACCTATCAATGCTGTGATCATGGCAATTACAGGTATCTTGTCAAACACCACTGTTACATTTACTGCTAGTACACATATATATACATTGCAGAAAAATCAGTAACACCAGCCTCAGGTGGTGTTAATGCACTTGTGTCTGCTGCCATTTCTGATGGTTTTGCAGTAAGGGTAAAATCTGGAGCCCAATTTCTGTTACTTTTGAAATACAGCTGCAAGAACACTGCCTTAGAGAGGTATGGAATGTAGACTATAGAGTAATGGCTTGGAACTGAGTGGGTCTGCCTTGGCCCAGTATGATGGAAACGTATTTATGCCAAAATACCTAGCAGTAATCTGAGTGGTATCTGAGGAAGTTCATGTGTGGCAAAGTTCTGAGCTGCAGCTCAAATTTGAGGGTGTGTGTCAGAACCCCAAATGCCCTGTGTACCGTGAGAGGTCACAAGCTTTGTGTGCTACCAGGCATACTGTGCTGTGTTATGGAATCAAGATTAGCCTGCATGAATAGAGCCTTTCTTTTTGAACACCTCTACTTCAGAACTCTGTCCTGTTGTGGGGTTTTTTGACCTTCCATCTCCTCCATGAACCCCTGGCAACTGAGGCTGTAGAATGGAGGTATATATATATATATCCAGAGCACAAACATGTCTAAATCTGCTTCATGTGGAAGGCTTGTATATGCATGCTGTTCAAAAAATAGCTTTCTGCATGTGCTTTGGTGTGTCCTGACTTCTTGCAGAGTGTACCACAGCTAATAACCTCGTTTTTGCTGTTGGATGGAAATGTGCTTGTTGGCAACCTCTGTGTGTACTCCAGGTCCGCAAGGTGTTCCCTGACCACATGCTTCAGCTGTGAGGGTTCACGTCTACCTACAGTTAGTCTGAAATCACTGTCCCTAGGCTTAATCCTTTTCCTGAGCTTTGGATGGTAGGAAGTCTGTGCTTCGAAGATGTTCTGTTGAGACTTTATCCGCACACTTGTTCTGTACCAAGGCTCTTTTCTTGGCACTTTCAGGATTTTTCATCGGAGGCCCTTCCAACATGATCAGTTCTGCAATTTCTGCTGACCTGGGGCGCCAGGATCTGGTGAAAGGCAGCAGCGAGGCTCTGGCAACAGTCACGGGAATTGTGGATGGAACGGGCAGTATTGGTGCTGCAGTGGGCCAGGTGAGGCTACCAAAGGACAATAGAGTCTGGGAAAGGAGGCAAAGAGTCTGTTGTAGTTAGAGACGTTAGCATGGAGAGAGAGAAAGACAGGGTTGGTTTAAAAAAACAGAATTATTTAAGAAACAACCAAGGGAACATGCCTGTTCCAAGCTTGCATGAAAACCACTTTTAATTGAGAACTAAACTAAGTGTTTATAGTGCTAATGTTATGGCACTTTCATAATTCAGATGAGTTTTAGAGACTTCCATATCCTGAACTCCAGAAAGCAAGTAAAGGTCAGCTTCACAAAGAGTGACAATAAAATATTTTGGAGTTTGTTTGGGATTTTCAGACAAACAGGCCAGGTTGGACAGAGCCTTGGATGTCATGGTCTAGTGTGAGGTGTCCTTGCCCGTGGCAGGGGGGTTTGGAATTACATGATCTTAAGGTTCTGTGATTTATTTTTTTTCTTTTTTTGGTCAAAGGAAACAGCAGAACCTTTGCTTATAGAAAAGTTTACCTGCATAACCGAGTAAAATGCGAATACCTGTTATGAATGTTACAGTGTTTATGACAGAATTTAAAATCTGCTCTTATTTGTGGTTCCCTTTTTTTATCTATGGATGTCTTTTACACGTTGTAAATCCAGCACCACTTGCTTCGATAGTCCTTACAGTATGCTGCCGGAGGTCTGAAGACTAGACTGTTGCAGAAGAGAAAGCTGACAGTGTGCCCACTGGGGACATTCCTTCTTCTCAAATACAAGTGTTAACTATGTGGAAGAACACAGTGGTGCTTTGGGGAGGGGAGGATTTTGTAGAAAGATTGGAGCCAGTTCTATTCCAGGCATCCTTTAGTGCTGGTAAAACACCAAGGGTGCACTTGAGGCATACAAGTTTCTTTTCTGGAAAGGGATTTGGGTTTATAGGTGCCACTGATTGCCTGGTAAATACAATCATTCAGTCTTATTTCACAGGAAAGATGCTGAGCTCCATTAAATGTGGAAAATTACAGTGCTTTGTGGACATCTTAAAGTGCACTGTTACCCTCGTTGTTCTTCTTACATTGTCTGCAGTGTTTCTGTCTTCCCCCACACATACCATTCAAACTCACGTCATCGTAAAAATTGGGTCTTTAGTTCTGAAAAATTCCACCTTCCTCCCATTCTAGCATTGCATTTATTTCACCAGAGACAACCACGATATCATTCTGGGGGTGTGTGAATAACAGCAAATCCACAGTGAACATGTTAGAAATTCAGATCCTGTTCTGTGCTAATACACCCAGTAGTGAAGAAGGGTGGCCCTTGTACAGCATCTGAATATACATCTGCTAATAGGAAATACATTTTCTTTTGTAGCCTGTGTAGTCCTATTGAAGTAGAATGAAGTTCAGAACAGACTGTAGTCTCAAGTGTCTTCCTTACGATGAAGGGTTAACTAGGCAGTGGTTGCACAGCACTTGAAAATGTGTCCTGTGTAATTTATAAGCCATTCTACAGCTTTTAGTTCTGAGAGTACTTACATCCACTTATGTCCCAGTGTTCCGTGCAAAAACCTGGTATTCAGTGGAGTCAATTTGTCACCCTTTGAAACTGTAGTTCACTTCTGTCTTTACGATGCTATGAGTTACTGTATAGCTTCGGGATGATATCCCTGCTTTGCTGAGACTGTGGGTTTTGTACAAGAAGGGCTGCTGTCCTGAGTCATCTCTTCTGACAGGAAAAGATCAGCTGGAAGGTTTTGTGATGAGCCCCGTGTGGAGTGTTAACAGCCCACAGATTCTAGAAAATGAAAGAGCAATGCCTGAAAGTCATCCTTCCCAGTTTGAATAATTCTTTTTTCCTTTTCCCATTTAGTACCTAGTGTCTTTGATCCAGGAGAACCTGGGATGGATGTGGGTTTTCTATTTCTTTATTCTAATGGTAAGAGATCACCTTTTTTAACATTTCTTTGTCAAAGTTCAATTTGCAACAGAAAGTTTGTGTGAGAACCTGAAAATCATGACTTTGGCATTCAGTCTGTTTCTGCAGCACCTGCAAGCTGATGCCATTCTCAAAGTGGTCTACAGTGTGCCATTGCCTCAGGGTGTCTAAATTAACTGGGTTCATGTTGCCCATCAGGAATCGAGATTGTGGCAGAGACACAAAAGATACTTGCCTAAAAATACTTGTATGCACTTCCTAAAGCTCACACAACCTGACTGCCTTCCAAGGAAGGACTTGCCTCCTTCATCTCCCTCATATGTAGTTCCTAGTTTTTTCAGAGAGCTGAAGTTGAGGTGCTTGCTAGCCCTGGAACATTAGTGGAAGGAGTGATGAGGATCTTGAAACTGAAATGAAAATGCCTTGCTGTGGTATGCCACTGGGGCAGAAGACCCTTCAGGCCCTTATCTCCTCAGCATTGCCACAGTGGTGAATGCTCTCTAATTCACCTGTTCTTCCCTGCTGGAAGTGCCAGGGATTCCTGCATGTGTGCTGACAAGGGTAAAGGCTACTTTGGTAACCAGCAGAGGTGGCCAGGAGGAAGAAGACCACTGAGGCAGGGAAGAGCTCATCTTCTTTATGAAAAGAAGATCATGACAGCTGAAATCATATGAGCTTTCCTGCAAACTCAGTCCTCCCATCCAGTGGGCCACTTTGTCATAGCTTCTCTTAGCCTGTATCTTTCTGGGGAGGCCTGGAATGCACATTGGAGGGCAGGATGGCTGAAGCTATGGCTGCTCTGTGCTAAATGTCCTGGATATACTTCTTTTCACAGACGAGTTCAACAATCCTGTTCATTTCACCGTTAATAGTGAGGGAGATGAGATTGCTCCTGCACGAGCGGCACCTGCGAGTGCTGGCCGAGTGACTTCTGCTCACCTCCAGAAGGACTGCTGTATGGACCTGACAGCTGGAACACTAATCAGAACCCTGGGAGACTTGTTTATTACATCCTCCAGGTTTGGACGAACTCGGAACTGTTCTGCAAGACTCGATGGACCTGCCTTTGGCAAGCTCAGTAGTGGAGTACCAAATACCCGTCCTGAGACCACACACATGGAGCTGCTGGCCTGGCAGACTGTCCAGGACTGTCAGGACTGGTGGATTGTCCCAGCCTGCCAGACTCTGCCATGTCAGCAGTCACACCAGGGTCTTCTTTTGGGTGGTCTCACTGCTCTACACTTATTTATTTCTGGATGTCCTGACCAAAGGTCAGCTCTTTAAGACTGACAGTGGAGAGGTGGTCTTGCAATGAATTTTGATGCTCTGTTGTGCTGGTGAAATCATACAGTGCATTTCACGTGTAGTCTAAATTTATGATCACTTTAGCTTTTAGAAAGGTCAAAAATAATGATCTGCAATCGGCGCTGTCCAGCTGTATAAAATGTGCTGTTGCTAAATCTCTGCACAGACAGACCTCTGCTATCCCTAGCTCCTAACTGTCACATGTTCCAGTAGATTGACATGGAAAAGTTAACCTCCATGTTGGTTTTTAGCATTTTTTAACAATAGTAGTGATATTACTGATCTCCGGGAAATGAGATTTCAGTTTTTAACTATTTAAGCAGACAAATAGTGTGCAATACTTTACCATGATCTCTGACAAAAAGCCTTAATAGATCCTTTGTGTCTAAAGGATCCTTGAATGGCTTTGGGGATCAGTAATGGGACACAAATACTTTCACTACTGCTTTGTTATTTGAACTGACCAAAATGGGACCCTCTGAAGGAAGCTGGTGTCACTGATTTGATACTTGATGGGCAGTTGCTCATCTGCAGCAAAGGAGAACCAGAAGGGAATTAAAGGAATTTAATGGACCTGGCTGCTCTCAGACAAGGGCTTCCAGATAGGGACTGAGGATAGTAATAGTGAGCAAGTGCTGCTGTCTTTCCCCCATGGTCCTCTGCCTAGGGTTTTAAAGCTTGAGTTGTATCTTGAAGAGAAAGGTTTTGATGCAAGTCAGCACTAAAACCGTCTGACTGCAGTCAGTATGGTGGTATCTGAGTATTATGCAGTACTGAAGTAAGCGGGTGACCACCAGCACCTCTGACATTTGCTGGTGATGTTAATGGGAGCATTGAGCAACCTCTCAACAGATTGTTTTCTGCTTCTGCCTTGGGATGTTTCATTGGAATAGGCACGTGTTACCCAGCAGAACATCTGATCAAACACTCAATGCAACTAGTCAACAATGCCTGGATGGAGCAGAGGGCAGGAAAATTCTTGGAGCTGAAACTTTTTAAATGGGAAAAGATGCCTTTTCAAAATGTACAGTGATTTTATTTTATTGTTTTTTAAAGTCATGAATGTCAACCTTTAATCACGTGTTGATTGTAACAAGTGGAACATGATTAGTGCCTTAAGGTTTTAATGTATTGAACGGTTGCTTAGTGACCTCTGCTTCTGCAGTGAGGGCTCTGTGCACAGCTTTGCTTACTGTGAAACTCAGTTGCCCCATTTTATACTTTTATTTTGAGAGTCTCTTTCTTTCTTTCTTGGTGGAGGTGATTCCTGCATTTTTTTGCTAGCCCTCCAAAAAAATCAGTGCTTGGGAAAACGATGCCATTAAGCTGATGAGGGACCTGAATCCTGTTCTTGTCTCTTCTCATTCCCATTCCAATTTTTGCCTGTATAATTAGAGTAGGAGACTGAGAATCTATCATCCTGTTCTCAGAATTATGCCCTGGGGTTAGCGTTCACATCCCAAGCTACTCATTAGCCCCTGTACAAATAGAATCAGAACTCCCTGAAACTTAGTTCTAAAATTGATGGCGGCACCGTTTGCCCCAGCCCCAGCGTCTGAGAATCCGTGGTTTCGAATTCCAACCTGGATGAGCTCTTTGCCTGCCGTCTGGGCATGAGATAAGCTTCTGATGAAAGGTGGTGTGGGAAAGGGATGTTGCTGGGGCTGGGGGGAGGAGAGGTTGGCCCCTGTAACAAATGGTTTCCTGTAAACAGTTCTGTCCCCTCTTGAGAAGTGTCAGATGTGTTGTGAGTGCTGCAAGCACAGGCTGCCCAGCAGCTCGTGGTGGTGCTTTGAGGCCACCCTCAATTACTGAGGCATGCCTGAGACTGCAGGATTTTGTTGTTGTTGCTGCTGTTGTCCTGGGTTTTGGGTTCTGTGTATTTCCTCAAGGTGCTTGGATGAGAAGGGTTTTCAATCTGACCATGTCCAAACTGATCTCGTATGAATAAACTTACTCTGACTTGAGCTGGGCTAATTCTCCCGTGTGCTTTATTCCACTCTTCTCAATGTGTTTTTCCTGAGCGTGCTGCTCTCCTCCTCATTATAGGCCTAGCTCTGACAGCTGCTTCTCGCTCAGCTGCTGTGAAGACCTGAGCCGTGACTCACGCTGAAACCAAGCCCTCATCGCAACCTAAAAGCGTTCCCGCACAAGGCGGTTTGGTTCTCATCCCGAGAAGCTTTGTGAAGAGTCCCCTAACAGAGTTGCCCATAATGGTGTAATTAGCAGTCTTAAATAGAAAAGGCAGAGCATATACTTGGGTTTATTTATTTGTCAATGTGCATGTAGCAGTCAGGTGTTCTTCCCTTGGAATGAAACGTGCCATGTGGCTGCTGGCCCTGCTGTGCCTTCTCTCCTGTGGGTTGTTTCTTTAAATGTAAATCCACACCTACGCTTAGCTGTGTTTGAATGGGCACAGTGGGGAACTTTGTAATTGTGTTTGTGTTTTATAGGTTGCTGTAAATTCAGAGCTGAGCACAATGCCGGGTTGCTGGAGAAGGCCCCATGCCTGCGTGTTCTGGTCCCTCAATTCCAAGTAGTTTGGTGGTGCTATGATGCTGTTTCTCAAGAAAAGCAAGGGCATGTAGTGACGGGACAAGGGGGAAGGGTTTTAAACTGAAAAAGGGTAAATTTAGATTAAACATTACCTAGAAGTTATTCCCTGAGAGGTTGGTGAGGCCCTGGCACAGGTTGCCCATAGAAGCTGTGGCTGCCCCATCCCTGGCAGTGTTCAAGGCCAGGTTGGACACAGGGGCTTGGAGCAACCTGGTCTAGTGGAAGGTGTCCCTGTCCACGGCAGGGGTGGGGTGGAACTGGCTGAGCTTTAAGGTCCCTTCCAACCCAAACCATTCTATGACATTTTTACATGTTTTCTGCTGCTTCCTCTCTACTCATGAAGAACTTTCCAGCCTGCTCTGGAAGTACCCTAAGGAGCAGAGCTTTCCTTGAGTACCTGTTTGAAAATGCTGATAGTAGCAGCCCTCATCACCACTGCTGTGACTGTGACCTCCAGAGCTCAGTGCAGGCAGGTGGAAGTGCAGGAATTACTCAACTTCAGGGTGCAAAGGAAGTGTTCAAGAACTGATCTCTGGGTGTTTGCCTCTTGCCCAGGATGTGACTGACAAATTGTCTGACCAAATTGGTTTTGCAAGCAAAGGTGTGCCCTACAATGCTTTTCTGTTGAGGAAAGTCCTTGCAATAGATGCCCTTCAAGCAATGCTACTGTGTCCTGGTTTTCTCGGATGTCTGTAATGCAATGATACGGAAGTCTGCCTGGTGGCAGTGTCTCGGTACTCTCAAAAGGGGAAGAATTGGGCTGCTGCTCCAAGTGCTGTCCTGAGGCAAAAGGAGAAGGTATCTATTTTAAGATAGTCCCACAGATCTCACCAGTAAAAGCACTATCTGCTCAGGGGTGTCTCAGACACACTGCTGTTTGGTCACTGTCATTGTAATCTTGTCCCCCCTCCATCTGTGGCCAGTGTGCTTTGCCAAACCTGTTTGCAGTTGCTCCCCCCTTCTTCTTAAAGTTCTTTTTTAACTGAAAGTGCCTACAGGGATGTTTTGGGTTCTTGTATTGCAAGAGTTTCCTAAGGTACAGCATGCCCACCTTACTCCATCTTTGTCAAGCCTTATCTAATCTTTTAGTAAACAGCCTACTGTTCTCCAAAGGCTGTAAATACAAGCTTTTAGACCATTTTGTGTGGCTGGATTGGGGGGGGGGTGTGTTTTGTACAGGCCCATGAAGACATCTTGGTTCTGTTAAAGCCTTTCCTGAATGAGAGTCATTTAGATGAATATGCATGGTAACGCAAAGAAGAATTCAGGTGATTGCTGTGGATGTTCCTTTTGTTTCTCCTGTGCTTTTGATGGTGTCTGCATGTGTCTTGATCCCAGAAGGTTCTCCTGGAATGTCTCCTTTGACCACCTCTGCAACAGTCTGCAGGGGTCTGCGGAAACAAATGCAGTGGGCAAATCAGAACGTACTTCTGGAGAACTGGAGCAGGTAGCAAGCTTTGTGGCGCTCTTGTTAGATTTAAGGTAACTGATAGGAGAAGGAAGACTTCTGCTGAGATCACAGAAGCCCAGGTGAACTATTTGAGGACAATCTATCATCTTGTTTCGGAATAGCTGTTAAAGCAGCGGATGGCAGTCAATGGACCATTAGGTGAATTGCTGAGGTCTTTGTCCACTGGTGTTCCTGCTCAGTTGTGAAGGACAAGAAATCCCTCCTCCTCCATCTCTCGTCCTCGTGGGCCACATAAGTAACGACGTAATCCAGAGGGTGCCAGCGGAATGACATCAGATAAGGATGAGATTACCTAGACGTGCTATTTAAATCTTCTGTCCTTGTAGCTTGGTAAGTGAAGTATTGGGGATTCAGGATGGGTTGATTTCTCTGGGCTCCTGGATTCCGACACCAGCTCAGAGAACCTGGAGACCGACATCCTCGCTCTTCTTCCCATCTGTCAAGTTGGGACCAGTTTCTCGAAACTCACTCCTCTGCTGTGGAGCGTGTGGCAGAGAAAATCATTGTTGGGCTGACAAAAGCTGGCACTTGCCTGCAGTGAGTGCCAAAGATGACGAAGCAATTGGATAATAGCTGACTGTGCTATTCAGCCGGAAGGGTGGGAGTATCCGAGAGGCAGTTTCACTGGGACTGGCTCAGCTACCCATTCACCTCTTCCTCAGCATCCTTGCCCTCTGCTGTAACTCTTGCATCCTTCTGGGAATATTAATGTTCCATTTCTTCCAGTCAGACGCAGGTTCATCCCAGGACTGTTTATCAAGGCATGGCAACAAGTAGGACAAATGGCAAAAGGCGGCTGCTGTGCCTGCTGTTGAATGCAGAGGAGCTGTTACATGAGGAGAGACGCAGAATGGGAGCCCTGTTGCAATAGCAGGCATGCCTCGGCCTTGTGCCAGCACAAGTGACTTCTGACTTAGTGCACACCTCTGAAACACCAGGTGAGCACGTGTGCAGGGGTTGTAGAGTCTCTGCTGGCGGTGGCTTTTTGCTGCTTAGCTTCATTTCTGTGCACATCTGCAGTGCTGTTTGGAGCTACTGGAGCTCCCAGGCCTGTTCTAAGGACTCTCTTGGCCCTGTGTGCTCAGGCAGTGGCAGGGCTGGTTTGCCTGAGAGAGTCATAGAATGGTTTGGGTTGGAAGAGGCATCAAACACCACCTAGTTCCACCCCCCCACCAAGGCAGGGCCACTCAGAGCAGGTTACACAGGAACGCATCCAGGTGGGTTTTGAATGTCTCCAGAGAAGGAGACTCCACAGCCTCCTGGGCAGCCTGTTCCAGTGCTCTGCCACGCTCAATGTAAAGGATTCCTTCCTCATGTTGAAGTGAAACTTCTTGTGTTTTAGTTTATGGCCGTTGCTCCTTGTCCTGTCACTGGGCACCACTGAAAATAGTCTGGCATCACCCTTCTGGCATCCGCCTTTGAGATACTGATATTCATTAATGAGATCCCCTCTCAGTCTCCTCTTCTCTAGACTAAACAGGCCCAGCTCCTTCAGTCTCTCCTGATAAGAGAAATGCTCCAGAGCCCTGATCATCCCTGTGGCCTTCAGTGGACACTCTCCAGTAGCTCCGTGTCTTTCCTCTACTGAGGAGCCCAGAACTGGACACAGTACCCCAGGCATGGCCTCACCAGGGCCGAATAGAAGAGGAAGATAACCTCCCTTGACCTGCTGGCCACGCTCCTCACTCTTCTGTCCCCAGTCCGTTTTGTTTACTGCAGCCTTTGTGGCAGCTTGTCTCCAGGACTAGAAAAGGAGCCAGTATTTTCTGTGCTGACAAAGTGAGCATTGTAATGCAGTTGCAGAGTGGGTGGGTATGATTGCCGACAGACGTACTCCTTCTGCTAGGGTGTGGATTTAAAGCTCAAGGTGACTTTGTTCCTGCATAAATTCACTTACTTTCCCCAGGGAACTGAAGGGGCAGGGTTGGCAGGGGAGAAGTATGATAAATGGAAGTGTCGGAAGGAAACGCATTCACATAGCACGCACTACCAAAGCACAAACGTGTGCTCTGTTGAGGAGCTTCCAGTGTAGCGTAAGGTAGCATTCCATGGAGTAAAAACACCCTGGGTGATGTTTAGCTGAGAAGTTGAGCGTGGCTCTCTGCGGGCTGCTCTCCCAGTGTAATTGCCTGGGTAAGTGGATTAGTGAGCAGCAGCGTGACTTGTTCAGGGCTAGGCAGGCTCGGGGGGGAGCGAGGAGCGCACTGTTCCTCCCAGGAGGACGAGGTGCAGGCAGCGTTTGCTATGGGAAACAGCGTTGCTCTCTACCAGTCAGACCTGTTTGACACCAAAAGCTGTGGCTGACGGTTGGGCTGTCATCGTGTGGGCTCGCTGGGAAGGGTCCCATGGAAACAGTTCCTTTCAGAGCTATTGCTTGTCCGTATCTGACGTGAGGTAGGTATGGTGACAGCAAATCACATCTTGGGACACTTCTTCGCTGCCTTTGTTGCCATGGGAATCGGTGTCTTCTGCAGCTTTGTCTTCTGTGAAAAGAGAGAAGTATTGTTACCTCCCCTGGCTCACCCACCAAAATGGGACAAGGGAGGGGGGGGCTGTGGTCAGCCTGGAGCCAACCTTTGTCTGTGTCACAGACAGGGCCACGAGGTTGCTTGTCTTAAAATCTCGTCTGGCCACGATGTCCCTCTGTGGTGGTTACAGCATCCAGGTTACAACGCAGAGCGCAGAGCAGTGAGGCACACTGGCCTTGGTAGCCCTGCTCCCCTCACGCTGAGTGCCAGGCACAGAGCTGTCTCACCTTGCTGGAGTAACAGTGCATGGACCTGCCCTTGCACCCGCTTCACAGCCAGGCAGAAGAACCTGGGTCATGCAGACATCTGACATGTCTAAACATGTCGTTGTTTCAAAAGGCTGGCATGGCCCCAGGGTTCAACTGCCCATCCAGAGGGGCTCAGGCAGGGTCCCCTGCCCTTGGTGGGCTGCAGAAAAGCAGAGGTGCACCAGATTCCTGGGGGGACATGCCTTGCTTCATCTTCTCCCCAGGTGACTGAGCAGCCCCTGTCAGGGATGTAGGAGCTGGTCCTTCCCGGCCTGGAGGCACAGGCACTGTGGAGCCTCGGAAGGGAGCCCAGCTGGAATCCTGACCCAGGATCTGCATCCCTCCTGTGCTTCAGCTCATGGCAAACCCTTCTGAACGTAGTAAGGAAAGAAGGGAAACTGTGTTGAAAAAGAGAGCTGTGACTCTTAGGGGAAACAGGACAGTGCCTGCATTTTCTGTGCTGTACAAGGAGCCAGAGCTTTCGCTCTGAATGTATCCTGAGGTGATACGAGAAATCAGCTCACTTCGGAGAGCTCCCCACGTTTGTACCTAACTCGTGTTTGTTCCTTCCTCCCAGCCCTCAATTGTCTCATTTCCTCTGATCGTAACTGATCTCTCTTTTAGTTACGCTTCTCAAGTGGATTCCGATACCGAATGCAAAGATACCTATCTGCCCAAACCTCCTACGGAATAAAGAAGTGGTGTTATTTCCACGGTACCAACGAGGAACTGAGTCAGAGGGAGGCAAAATTACACATCCGAGGTTACTCAAGAGGGCCGGGCGCTGCTGGGAACCAAATGTGGCAGTTCCTCTTCCCACTGCCAGAGCCCTTCCCCTCCACTGCACGGGATGTGGGGCATTGCCCTGCTCTGCCCCAGCCTTTCACCTCGGCATGGGCCCTTGGACTCTGAAATAAGTGATAAACGCAGTCAGCCTTTTTCAATGGGAAGGAATGATTCATCTGAGCCTTAAACTTCTGGCACTGGAATTGAAAGTAGAATTTGAACCACTCTGTGTAAATAACCCGCACTTAACAATCCAGCGCTTTTGCTTGGACTGTGGTGTTTGTGGTGCCACCTTCTCCTGGGGCAGGGATGCCTCCAATTGACTAAAGGTTTATATTTGTACCAAAGTTGACGAAGCTTTTGTAGCTAAAAATGCACCATGCTTTCAAACTGTGCTGCTTCATGCCATAGAAAGAGTCCTGTTGACGTTCAGCCATTCAAACTAGATGTGGTTAAATGTAGCAATATGAGAAACATGGAAGTCCAGAGCAGCAGGAAAACATGTGCCATAGCAGTCTAACCTAGGATAGAAATAAAACATACCGTTCTCTGTTAAAAATGTGGGCAAGTGCTGTATTTCTAAGTACATATATATATAAAGTAGTAAGTTGTTTTAGATGAGTCATTAAAAACTGCAGGGAGTTTCACTTTCTCATCTAAGATGTGTGTTTCTGTGTTTACCCTTTTGCATATGTATGAGAGTATACACATGTATAAATACATGGAATGCTCATATTGTTGTAGCTCAGGCAGTTTTTCCATATTCTCCTTTTTCAAGTGGTGGTGTTGAGTCTTCAAGGAGATTCATCACAAAATCCCCTTTAACTCATGCACTGCTCATTTAACAGGAAGGGGCTTCAGTGACAGCTTGAAGCTGTTCTCATTGACCTTTGTCTGTGAAAGGGCCGCCTTGGAAATTGTCAGGAATGCTGAAATAAAATGATGGGATAAAACCAATGAATAACAGAGGGTGGGCAAGTAATAATGAGTCACCACGAAATGCCATCAGTGGGATACGCTGAGCTCCGGCTCGGCTCGGTCTGCCTGCCTATGCATCATTGCTGAGTCCTTCGAAATGTGGCACTGCAACCGGGTGCTGCAGTCAGCTAGCCACAGGGAAATGGTACAGCTTCAAAGCTCTGGGAATAACAAAAGTCCTGTCTGCCACTGTCTGCTTACTCACCCTCGGCACAAGCCGGTACGAAAGCAGCAGAGAGCGATTTAGGCTCGCAAACAAAATGACTCGCAGGCTGTGATGTGTTAGAAATTAGTCATGTTTCAGTCTGGGCTTCTGATTTTGCTCAGCAGCCGCCTGCTGCGCCTTGGCTTCTGCCTGCTGCCCTGGAAGCTTGGTGGGACGGGAGAAGCGGGGAGTCATGGGGGTACAAATGCTCCTCCAGAAAGGAAAACAGAGCTCTCCGAGCTGGCACACCACACACAGGGAGCACATGGTCCAGTGCTGGCAGGGAGCCCTCCGTACCAGCATGGCCATGCCATAGCCTCTGGTCTATGCAGGGATTTGCATGGTGACCTGCTGCTGAGGGCTAAGATTCTCCAGCAGGCAGGAGGATGGAGGGTGGGAAGCCCACCAGACACACATGGTGTTTGAAGGCACAAAGGGATGCTTTATTGGCCTGAGGGGGGGTTCTCATTCAGTGGCTTCCCCAGCACGGACACCTCCGCAGGGTCTTCTGTCCTTTGCCAGAAGAAAGAAGCAAAAAGTAGCCCCATTGTTCTCTGACTTCAAACCAGCTTCCCCTCCCCAAAACTGTGGGGCCGGTGGGGGCCTGCCCCGGTGGTGTGTTTCTTTCATGAGTCTGGGGTGGGTTAGCCTGGTTTTCAAACACCTTCCTCCAGCCTTTGCCTTATTGTACAGCCATATACTTCAGCTGGCAGCAGTAAAGCAGCAGTTAAAACCCAATCCCTTTCTGGCAGGCTCTGTGAGCCCCCTGTCCTCCTCTTCATTGCTGTGGGGCTCAGCCCTGCCACGCTGCTTTTGGGAATGTGCGTACATATGTATGTGCTTTTGGGAATGTGTGTACATATGTGCATCCACAACAGCAGCAGGGGTTGCTGGAGGTGGGAGCTTGCTGGGTGCCATGCCTGGAGCCCTGCCCCATGCAGCTTCCTTACCCCAGTGAGCTGCAGACACCATGGGCTAAGGCCAGGTCCCCTCTTCTGCTTGTTCTGTCCTGGGGGCCCACAGGGGTTGCTGACATTTCCACTTGCTGTCCATGAGAGGGGAGCCCCCAAGACAGTGGCACGGCAGAGCCCAGAGGGTGCCCACCTGCTTTCTGCTGCTGTGGGAGGAAAACCCATGTTGGCTCCTGCCTTACAAATAAGAGGTGATGCTGATAAGAGAAGTCATGTCCAGAGAAGCTGTGGCTACCCCATCCCTGCAGTGTTCAAGGTCAGGTTGGATGGGGCTTTGAGCAACATGATCTAGTGGAAGGTGTTCCTGCCTGTGGCAGGAGGTTGGAACTGGATGAGCTTTAAGATCCCTTCCAACCCAAACCATTCTGTGAATGTATGATAAAGCTGAGCAGACGGGCAATCATG